TTCGGCGGTCAGATCTTGCTCTCCCATAAACCCTTGACATCTCTTATTGTTTATTGTTATATCTTATTTGTTAATTTAGAAGCGAAACTTATAAGGTGAGGAAAACCACCTGTTTAAAATAGTAGAGAGATATCGGTAACCCAAAAAGCGTCATGCGGTATTAGCGCCTACGTTATTTTGACATTGAACCTATGAAAAAGTACATTCTGAGAGAGACCAACTCTTACAAGAAGTTAGTGATATGTGTAATAACGCCAAACTAAAGCCACTAACTAAAAAAAGGATATTGAGTAAGGAAAAACAAATTGCCGAATTAGGGAAACAGTCAAGAGATGAGTGTTCCAAAACTCTAATCTCGGAAAACATTGAAATTGAAAACTTGCCCACAGCGGTTCCAGCTCCATCTTTTTCTCCAATAGCCTTAGACTATGATTATCGTAGGTGTAAAAGTATAAAACATAAAATAATTATTATATTCATTTCGTGTCCCTATTATTAATTATGGTAGAAATTTCTTGGGTTTAAGGACGGGGAGGTAAACCAAAAGATACTACTTAGCTTTCGGCCGAAATAAAATAATTATTTCACTTCGTATTCTTAAATAAATCTAATCTAATGACAAATCTATATAAAATTTCTTGAGTCTACAAAATAGAATCTGAAACTCCAAAAATTAGTCCAGAAAAAGGTGCTTCGACTTCGAGAAAAATTTTAGGTAGGTAGATAAACGTAATACTCTAGAATATTATTGTAATAAAAATACCTGTTAAATCGCCTCCTAGAAAGAACAGAACTAATAGAAGTGCTCTGTTAAAGGGGGTGTGACCCTAAAAAACGACTTAAGCTACTTAAATCAAGAAAAAAATTCTAAGATCTCTTGTGAAAACCGAGAAAATTCCTTGGGAAGATCAATTATGCAGGAAATTGTGATGTCACAACCGCCGAAATCGCAGTCTTCTGGGCCCGTATTCTCGTCACCGGGAACAGCGTTCTCTCAAGAGAACGATTGGCTCTGTCTTAGTCACCCATATTGTTATTTCCATAATACTGACAAAGACAGAGCAATCGTTCTCTTGAGAGAATGCTGTTCCCGTTACGAGAATACGGGCCATGGTCGTTCAGACGTCAGTGAACCGTGCCCTATACTTTGAGTGGTTGCAATTCGCTCTAGGAGATAATTATTTTTTATTTTGGAGAATTATCACACGTGTTAATACTGTCCCTGAAAATTCAGCGTGACGTCACAGAAGCCTAGTCGTAACTTTAAACCGCCCTAACTCGAAAACGGACCATCGTAGCAAGATGAGGTTTGAATATTTATTCTTAGATTTTTTTGCTCCAAAACTTTGATTTTTCGGTCACACCCCCTTTAAGAAGAAATACTTTAGAGTATTTGGATAATAAAGAATCAAGGGAGGAAATTTTAAAACTAGGTAGTTAAATTTGGAGGAAAAAAGAATTGAGTTGGGAAACAGAATAGAAAGCTAGTCTTATATGAACAACGGCACGAAATGGATTATATAGAAAGAAAAGAGAAATTGGAAATGGAGTGAACTCGATTTACACGAGAAATATTTGAAAGAGACCAAAAATCCAATATAATTGAACAGCAACATCAACGTATTCAGTCACTGATGGAAAGATTGAAGAAGTATGAAAAAAAATAAATAGTTATTTATTATACAAGACGGTAAAAAGATGCTTTACCTGTGAGTGGAAAATGTTGATTCACGAGCGACGAAGGAGCGAGTGGATTAATTCCACGAACAGGTAAAGCTTTTTTACCGTCGTGTGTAATATTCTATTTTATTCTTGAGCAACTTCTTATTTACCACAATTACTAAAATCATAAGCTAAAATGTACTAAAGTTTTACATAAGTTGTATTTCTTTCAAGAGTTTGAAACACTCGAGCTACTCGCTCCGGTGTTCAGGAGCCCCCAATTTGCAGGGAACAGATGCGTGGTGCAACAAACACTTTTCGAAAGGAATAGGGGCGTGAAGCCCCGGAGCTGTTCCGGAGCTTCTCCTACTAGTACGGGATACGAGGCCTATTTCATCAAATCATTTTACACCGTCTTGCATTGTTATCATAAGTAAGATAACATGGTACTGAAACGCACTTGTACAGGGAAATAGATGGGAGTGGGGGATTTCGCTGAAAAAAAATTTTCAGAAAATGTCGTCATAAACGAGGAAAATATATAATTATACACCGTCTTGCATTTATTTATTGAGTTAATTTGTACACAAACAAAATCGGATTAACACATGCAAGACGTTTTCATGGGGGCTTTGGGGTTGCAATAGAAGATGGAAATTGTCAATTTGTAAAAGGGGTGAAAAATCATTTTACACCACTCCATTGTTGATTTAGAATAAAGCTTGAATGTAGAATAGCTACCGGATACTGATACAAGACGTCCTATTGAGGGATAACGGGCTGCAAGACGGATGTCAATGTGTTGTCTCATGAGAGAGTGAAATAGTATATTACATACCGAGGTGGAAAGTGTTTCATTACTGTTTCATTACTGAAATCTCGAGACAGTAATGAAACTTTTCACCGAGGTATGTATACTATTTTATTTACAATCATTCGAATTTTGAAATTCTCATTTGGATTAAAACAAAAAAATATAATAATTAACAATTTCATTTACTTTCGGCCCACGGGTCGAAAGTTTACTTTCGACCCGTGGGCCGAAAGTAAAAGTCAAAAAATACAATAAATTTTAAAAATTTCATTTACTTTCGGCCCACGGGTCGAAAGTAAACTTTCGACCCGTGGGCCGAAAGTAAAAGTCAAAAAAGTGACATTTTCGAACTTGTTAAAAGTCAGTAAAGTCAACATTACATGTATGATTGTAAATAAAATTATTTTACACCACTTCATGCTTATGTCCGCCGGAAGAATATATGTTAAGAAATGGTAATACATCAGTCCAAGACGTTTTTTCGGGGAAAAAAGTGAATAAATCCGTTTTCTTTTTTGACTGAACTGTTGAGTTATTTACTGAACCGTTCACTGTTCATTCTTTTCGAAATCATACAGATGGAAAAGGACAATTGACATAGCAGCTCAACAGGGAAGTCTGCTGAATACAGGAATTATAATTTCTGTTTACAATTCCAGACAGATCATTTTTGTTGTGTCATTTTTTCGCAGCTTTGAAATCAAATTTCTCAAATTTACCTAATACTTACAATCCGTTATGTTTTATGGCATATCCACGTCAAAAAAAAAAAAAAAATTAATATAAGTCGTCAGAAAAAGAACAATTTTCAACCTTTTTTTATTTGGTGTCCGTAGAGTTAAAATATACATATTATTAAGAGAATTTTGCAAAATAGAATTATTATATGTGGTAAAGAGCAAAAATATTTAAAATAAATGTGTGTAATTTGTAACTTGGAGTAGTATTCACCTTTGTACCTGCTGGATTGACCCCCGTCAAAATTAGTCAACTTCATCACCGTCTTGCAGTCTTTTCCTTCCATTTAGAACGTCTTGTATTTTTAAAAATGTTATCAATGTGTTCTGTTTTTCCCATTAGTACCAGTGCAAGACGGTGTAAAATGATTTCTCACTCCTTCATAAGACAACACATTGACTTCCGTCTTGCAGCCCGTTATCCCTCCACAGGAGGTCTTGCATCAGTATCCAGTGGCTTTTCTACATTCAAGCTTTAATCTAAATCAACAATGAAGTGGTGTGAAATGATATTTCACCCCTCTGAAAAATTGACAATTTCTATCTAATATAACAACCCCAAAACCTCCATGAAAATGTCTTGCATGTGTTAATCCAATTTTGTTTGTGTACAAATTAACTGAATAAATAAATGCAAGACGGTGTATAATTATATATTTTCCTTATTTATGACGACATTTTCTGAAATATTTTTTTCAGCGAAATTCCCCACTCCCATCTATTTCCCTGCACAAGTGCGTTTCAGCATCATGTTATCTAACTGATGATAACAATGCAAGACGGTGTAAAATGATTTGATGAAATAGACCTCGTATCCCGTACTATACGTGTGAAAGGAATACAACTATAGATTATGACAAGTTGACAAAGTACCTAACAAACTGACACATTTCTGGTGTTGTCAATCATGCAACATAACCACAAAACAACAGATTTCTGTCAAAAACATTAAAATTATTATAAAAGATTTGAACAAGTGGGTAAAATTGATATATGAGTGGGTAAAATTGACGTATGAGTGATTTATACTCGATTTTTCAATGTTTTGTGGGTTTCTTGGTAAACTAATATTCAAGAAGAAGGGCTTGATGCTCGACTTGATGTTATTTTTGTTCCAAGAAAGGCATTCAAGTAATGGTAATGTTTAGCTTTTTTAATTTGACACTTTTCCTATATGAGGAGCGAGGGGAGGAAAAATCCAGCAAAAACAAGTGTGACAGGTAACGAACGATGTCATTGGGTGACCATTGGCGTGGGGAGCCACCAACTCCATAGCCAATTTCAAGCGAATGACCAAAATAAATTGGTAATTACCAGTTTGGTTTGGTAATTACCACAACGTTCAAGCGAGAGTGTTTATAACTTGGTTATTTATTTGCGATCAGCTGTTTTCTGTCATTCTTATAACCAAATTTCTTTGGTATTTACCTTGCTTGGGACCTGTTTTTGATTTACGGTTATTGGGATAAATGTCGTTGTCGGAATTTCGGATCGTTTTTGGAACACTTTTCTGAATTCTGAAGCAAAAAAAATGGAGAAATATGTGCTCAGTATCAACCATAAAGGTACCGATTTACGTGTGGAGGTTGACGATTTGGAAACGGCAAATTTGTTATTGAACGGTAAGTAATAAAATCAGTAGAAGTATTTCTAGGTTATGTTTTCCTATGTTTGTAGATGCAAGCGCTGCTTTTCAATACATAGAAAGTCTTTTAAAAGGCACAGAGGTTGTGACAGAGGTATCAAATAACTCTATAGAAGTAGTTTCACTCTCCTCGGTTTGTCCTATGGAACTAGAAACAAGTACCATTGTCGCGGAACCAGATCTCAGAAGTAACGATCTGTGTCTTGAGTCTACAGTCCAACGGGAGTTGCAGTCTCAACAAACTAAGAGCGACAACAATAATAATAATAATATTGATGGCATAATATGGACTAAAAAAAAACCTACAGCCAATGATCTTGAAGCAACTTCCCTTCTGCTTTCAACCAGGCAAAAAATGAGCAAGCTTTTTGATGATAAAAAAACCAGGAAGGCGAAATTGTGGAATGATGTAGCGAAGACACTAGAGGACAATAATTATAAGTTGGGTGAAAAAGGGGGCGAAAGATGCAGGCAGAAGTTCGCCAATCTTCAAAAATCATACCTTGCTTACATTAAACATCAAACAACAACAGGGACAGAAAAAACTGACGAAGTGCCCCCTTTCTTTGAGGAAATACATTCAATTTTAGGTAATAAATATATCACTTAAAACCTTTGGATCAATTTGTTAGTAGCAGTAAGTTTTTTCTTTAAATTTTAACAGCATGTACTTTTTAAATTTAGGAGGAAAACACAAGGTAAACCCTGCCAATTTAGAGGATTCAATGAATGATGAAGGACCAGGGGACATTGTCACACAGGCAGAAATGCTTGATAATAGTGTCCAAGATCAAGCAAGAGATGCGGAACGTTCTGAACTGGACAGCGTGACTCAAACGCTTCAGCCAAACTCTTCACTCTCAACTCCTAAACTTCAGGATGAAGTAAAAACTGATGTAGAAGACAATTTACCATCCACTTCAAAAGGATACAACAGTCAACGATTCAAGAAAGGAAAAAGAAAGCTAACACCCAGTAAGCAGGAAGAATTTGTGAAAGAACTTGAAAAAGACCGCGCCAGTAGAAATAAGGAGTTCGATTTTTTGAAAAATCACCTAAAGAAATCTGAAGAACAAAGAGATCGTTTTTTAAACATATTAGAACATGCCTTTCTACCCAAAAAACAAAAAAAGGATGTCTCGTCGAGTGATTCAGATTAAAATACTCAAAATATTATTTTCTAGATTACTCAGTTCTTAGATTAGACTTGTGTTTTTTTTCTGTGATTCAGTTCCTGAATGGATTAGCCAGTAATAATTAACAGTATTTAGTTATTTAAAGTTATTTTGATTTTTTGTTGCCAAGTAAGCAGCTTTAATTATGTTTTGCATTTTTATTTTACTTTCTGTGTACCTATCGGCAATTATCAAATAAAGTTTTTTTTTCAAATACCTATATCAAATTTTATTCAATTAACATTACCCACATAATTATTACAATAGAATTATAAATCAAGCTCACTATTTACAATATTAATACTACCTATCATAGGTATTTACTTAAAAAAAAACATCTAATTAACTATTATTGTATAAATTTAGTGCAATTCTATCTCTTTTCAATTTTTCCTCTACGTTACTTCGTCTAGGATTTCCTTCACCCAAGATTGAATTTTCTGCATTAACATATTCTTCATCCCAAATATCTCCATTCAATAGGCAGAAGTTATGTAGAATACCTGCTGCTGAGGCTATTTCGATAGCTTTACATATATTATATGTATTAATGAATTGTATTCTTCTCCATCTTCCTTTGTATCCTCCGAATGAATGCTCTATTTTAACTCTTTCTGAGCTTAGACAATAATTATGATATGTCTGTAATCTGGTTAAATTATCTCCCCTGTATGGTGTCATAAGCCACTTTTTTAAACCAAACGTACTATCCCCTATTAAATGATAATTGTTATCGTCATTAAAATAGTAGTTTGAACCATGTCTCTCAATGTTTTTATAAAAAATTGAGTTTTCAAACACCTAAAATAAAACACATCTATAAAGTTTTACAGTTTATACGTAGGTCATAAGAAAAAAATATTGTGCACTTCAATTTAAAAAAATTAAAAAATAGATATAGTTATTGAACTTACTCTGGAATCGTGGGCAGATCCAGGAAATCCTACAAACGTATATGTGAATAGGGTGTTTGAATCACAAATAGCCATCAAATTAATTGAATGTCTCCTGTACCGGTCAATATAGCTGTCTTGCTGGTCTTTTTCTACCTTAACGAAAATGTGTGTTCCGTCGATAGCTCCGATGACGCCTAAAAAAATAGAAACAGAAACAGTAATTTCAAAGATATAAGTAATTAAGCTAGAGTACAGCCAGCCGGCATCATTATGCTTAACAATTTCTAATAGTTTTTTACCTGGATAGTTTTTAAACCCACTGGAAACTTCAGCCAATTCTTGTGGTGTTCTTGGGAATTTAATAAATTGAGGCTTTAACTGAATAACAAAATATAGCATTCTGTTGATCACTTCCATTACAGTGGTTGGAGATACCTTAAATCTTGTACCAATACTTAGCAATGTATCCTGTGTTGCCATGTACCATAAAAAGATAAGGGCATGTCCATAACTACCTATGGGATGGTGTCCACCAGTATAGGGCTTCGATAAAATTCTCTCCTTGTCAGTCCTTCCAACAGTTATAACAAACTTCTCAAAACTATTTTTACCCATTCGAAAAAGTTTAAAAAATTGGAGATTATTATATTGTACAATCCACCTTGCAGGAAGTAAGACTTTGGGGGTCATTGAACGAAAGTCCTTAGCTGCTCCTGCATAATAAATTTTCATAGATTTTCTCCAAAACTGCTGAATAACGATTATTTCATCTTCAGAAAGAAACTCTTCTCCTAAAAGTAGCACTAAAAGCTGTTTATTCTTCTCTAGATCCATTTTGATAACGGAGATTGGAAATACAAAAAGACTGAGATTAAAAAAATCAATTCAAGCAAAAACGGTACCTAAACACTAAACACAACAAACCATTGGTAAATACCAAGCCGTTCAAGCGGAATCTAGCGGTTACTATTTTGTGACGTCAGCAAAGCTTCCCCTTCCTAATCTGTAGAATAACCAGAGAAAAACCTTAGTAAATACCAATTTATTTTGGTCATTCGCTTGAAATTGGCTCATTTCTTTGGAATATGAGATCATTTTGGTTGAACAGTAAGTTATACTCCTTTATATACTTCTCAACCTAATGGTGTTGCGGAAAGAATGAATCAGGCACCAATATACCTACCAAGATCTATAATAATGCAAGCAAAAATGGATAGGATATTTTGCGAAGATGCTATACTTGTTGCTATGTAAAATTAATTTTAAAAGTCACATGAAAAAATATCATCCTGGTAAGTTGTCTCAAAATTTGGCAGGAAAAACAAATTTCAAGTAAACCTCGATAGCACAACCACTGGCAAATAAAGTCAAGCTGATCACTGAAAAAAAAAATGAAAACACAGCACATTGAACTAAGAGAGAAAATTACCAGTTTCTGAATCTGGTGACTCGTAGAAAAAGTATTGTTCCTAACACTTGCGCAAAGTGTCTTTCCCGCACTGAAAGCTTATCCGATTTCCGCTTGGCGACCTTCGCCTCGTTCGTCTAACTGCTTTTTCGTACGGGAAAGTACCTTTTTGTCACATTGTGCACTTGTTAGGAAACAAGGGCGTAGGTATGGGGGGGTAGAGGGTGTAATTACCCCCCCCCCCCCAGATCTCTATTTTTTTAGGTAAATTTTGAAAAAAACTAATATTTTATTAGATGAAAAATATTGGGGCTTCCGGGTTAAGTAAAATATGATTGTCAAATAAAAATTCTTTGTTCTTGTTCTTTGTTCTTTGCAAGTTGGAAAGCTAGCTGCTAGAATGAGTATACATTTATTTTTAGAAAACTGTATTATCTATTACTGTATACTGTATTCTGTTAGTAAAAGCCGTGCTGCCCCAGTTTTACACTAACACTGAATCAGTTTAAGTTTAGTACATTCAGAGCTGTCAGAAAATAGTATATAATTAACTTTAGAGTATCTTAGTTACTTTATAGTATCTAAGATACTGTATCTTAAATACTTTCTATTTTTTGGCAAAAGTATCTAGTATCTTATGAGTCAATTCTGTGCACATCTGTAAGCAAATCTATATATCTCTATAAGCCCATCGCTGCCTATATGGACAATTTGCAATTCTGCACTTCCCATAGATTACAGAATATCTTATAGGATCGTACATATTTCCGATCGAGTGTTTGGAAATCGATGCGTTTTGCAGTGTCTATAGGCTTATAGAAATTTATAGATTTGCTTACAGATTGCACAGAATTGACCCGTTAGTTACTTTTCAAAAGGATCTGTAACTTGTATCTTGAAAAAGTATCTTGGATACCAAAAAGTATCTCAGATACTTAGAAGTAGGTAGATGCTGAAAAGTCTAATCTAAATCTAAGTTAATAAAAAGTATTAGTTCTGTGAAAAAAGTTTCTTGAGACGATCACCCAAAAAGATAAAACTGGTTCAAACTTCAAGAAGCATCAAGCTTACGTTATATGTAAATATTTGTTTGTATACCTACTCACCCAGCCGCTCTGTAAAGTTAGTGTACACTCATTCAACAAAAGAGTTATTGAGGATTTTGTTCTTCAATAGTTCACGTCACGATTTATCCATTATATTTTATAAAAATTATGTAACTATGATTTGTGATTGTAACTGTAATAACTTTCTATTTCCTGCGATTTTAAACCTAATTCTCGAATTTGGGATTTTTAAACTATAAAAATGCTTGTTTTTAAAATTGAATCTGGAACCTGTGGACATGGGCGTCGTTTGGGGGGGCAAGGGGGGGCATTTGCCCCCCTAGAAATAGTCTTTTGAACAAGAAAGCAGTAAAAAAGAGTTCGTATTCGTATTGCTTTTTTGAATTTTTTCAAAATTTGTTAGGTACTTTGAAAAATTGGCTGACATTTTCATTACATTCAACGGAATTGAATTTCACTTGACTTAGGGCCGGTATTATAAAACACTGAACCGATGGTTCGATGCCAGGGTTCTATGTTAGGGGGGGGGGGGCAGACTGGGCCAGAAAAATTTAGGGGGGCATTTGTTTTTATTTTACTGCTTTTCTTCTTTGGAATAAAAAAATGGGAAGTACATGTCGACACTATTATGTTTGAGGTAATCCCAGGAAACCGAAAGCAGCATCGTAGTTGCCTGTGCCCAAGAACACTCAACCTAAAAGGACTGCTTCTTGAGCTGAAAATGTCTGCCATCTCAGCCGAACACCTCAACACTTGGCGTAAAATGCATTAGCCGAGTTTAAAACAGTCACAGGTCATAGTAATCGTTATAATCTTGTTAAAATCACCTTTTCTACATTTAAAATTGACGAAAAAACAAGCACAACCTGAATCGCAAGCATCCCATCGAGGCCTGCGGGTAACGTCATCATTATAAGCTGTTATGCTGCTAACTAGTAGTGACGTCACTCGCAGGCCCTACCGACTCGTGAGTTGACGAAGGTACGCCTTATGAGGATGAGAATTCTTGTTAGTTTACGATTCTTGGCCTGTGCTAACCGAATACCCAATTAACCGACAGAGGCTGCTGATGTTACATTGCGTTGTTGCCGACATGAGAGCAAGTTTTCAGGGGGGGGGTCGGCTAAATTTCAGTGGCGGCCCCGGCCTCCTCTGGCCCTCCCCTGGCGTCGCCACTGAACAAATGATGCGGACAGTGAATTTGTTGCGGAAAAAAATACCATCATTTTTAACTAAATATCGATATCAACTAAGTACCTTAAAATGCTCAAAAAGGGGCGTGGCACTAAAAAAAATTAGCCTACGGCGCAGTGGCGACGCCAGGGTTTTACGTTAGGGGGGGCCAGGCTGGGCCAGAAAAAATTAGGGGGGGGCACTTGTTCTTACTTTATTGATTTTTTTCTTTGAAATAAAAAATGGGAATTGCAAAGTTTATCCGTTTATTTTTGCACTCCACCTGAACAGCTTAATTGAATGTATCAAAAAGGTTTTTATTTGGATTTTGTATACAGGGTGTCCGTTTTTCGAGGACAACCGTTGGAATATAGGAAACGGTAAGAGATACAAAATCGGAATCAATGGCCAAATGTGTTACT